CCGCGGATTGGTTTTCTATTTTTTTCCATTTTTTTTATAACAGTATTTTTCCCTTAATACATTCCCAGTGCCTCTACTAGAATCGTGGGAAATAAAATGAGCTGTCCTATCGTATTTTACAAAATAAAAGAAAATAACTCCATGAAACATAATCCAAAACAAAACGAAAGTTTCACTTTGTGTCCACTTATACACGTCGGCTCCCGGGTCCGTCCGCAATATATCGCGCTCTATGCGCAACACGTAGCACTTTATAGTGCGCAAACGCAGGTTTTACTGCGGCGGTTAACATTAAAGTATTAGCCCGTTAGGTAGGATCTAGAATAAGGACGTAACTGTGATTAGTATATAATAAGAATGAAGTATAGTATACCTGAGAACGTCGATAGGCATATCATGTCTCTGAGAGATACGGTAAAGGATTATAGAATGAAAAGCTGATGAACCTACAAAGGTACACATGGATACGTGCTCAAATACAATGGTGACATATGGATATAATTTCATATTGGCGAGTCGGAATAAAGTCTAAAAGCAATTTTACTTTGATCCCTTTTCAGACTTTTTCTATTTGAGTTTATGTTCAAAAGTCTACTTAAAAAATAATGGTCTATTAATTTAAAAAATATAGGTATTAATACTCTACTATAATAGTTATCAGTATGGATAACTAAATGTAATCATCACTATAATAATTCAATTCATTATTAACATAAAATTATATCGCTCAAAATTTTCGTGCGAAATCGAATACAGTCATAACATTATTCCTCATAGCCAGTATATAATTGACAATAATAGCATTCCCATATTGCATATGTTTACTAAGGTAAAGGCTCACATAACAGATGAAAATAAAAGCACATAACGTTAACACCAGTGTCCACTTATATTTCTGTCGGCTCCCGGCCGTACAAATATACGACGCGTATCGCTCGTAATGTATAAAGCTCTTTATACTACTCCTGCGCAGCTTTATTGCTAACAGGTTAGGGTCTAGCTATACTTATGACATAAATTTGAAACTTCTTATTATTTTTAGAAAATACATAGTTTTGGTTATTCAAATTAATTGATTGCTAGACCATCTGATAGGTATTTAGGTGTGTGTGGATTATGTACAATAATATAGCAGTAACAGATTAGAAAGAAATCCTTGAACAAAGCTTTGTAGAAATGTTTCTGGTTTGAGTTAAAGTTGGTCAACGTGGAAGTTGCTGTTTATAAGCGTTTTTTATATTCTATATTCATTATAACTTTGTAGGTCATGTCTTTGTACTGGAAATGTGCTTATTTCATTTCAGAGATGTAAATTTCATGCTTTGGATTTTAATGTAGTCCGTGTAATAACGATAACACTATTCTTGTAATTCTCAAGTCTCATTGTGAGCTGGTTGAGTGTGTAAGCTTTCGAAAAATATTCATTATTGTGTGTGTATTATTCGATATTGAAATATATTCATTACATATTTAGATTTTTATTAAATAATGAAATGTAATTAAAGAATATCGTAGTACGTACGTTAGAATATTAACTGTTTTAATAGAAGTGTAATAGTTATTACCCTATAATAAAGTTTACGTATTTAAGTATTGATTTTAAGTTATTTCTAGAGGCCTCTCCTGCGCTATATTTAATTTTGATTGATTAGTTTTGCCTTTATTATTTAGAAAAAATAAAAAGAAGCGTCTACTAAAGTGATTCGTATTCGTTTTGTATCCGCTGCTTAACTCCTTTTGATAAACAGGTGCGCATACGTTTTCATTTCCATATTTTTTGTACCTCTTCAACTTATTGTTCGTGCGGTTAATGTAGATACTGACAAACAAAGACTGCTTATACTATTAGGCTACATTTTTTAAATTTATTCTTGAATAATCCCTGTAGGCTACTAAATTTTATAAAACTATAACTATTAGACTACTAGAACTATTAGAACAAAAGATGAAAATCAAAAACTGTTAACGACAATAAGTCCAGTTTTTGTGGCGGGTTGGAAAATCTCTTAGGGTCTCCGGCTCCTTGGGAATATAGGAGCCATTAGTATATGAATACCTATACGAGAATGAAATTTGGAGTACTTGAATACATAGCAAAATTTTATTTACAAATCAAAAAGTTACCTGGAAATGACTACATCAAGCTACAGATATCCAGTATATTGAAGTGTCGTAGTTTTTAAGTGAGTCTATACAATGACAGCTCAAGTTATACTGGACTTAGAATAAATAAGAATGAAGTAGGTATGGTCGAAATTTTCCACACAAGACGATCTATACTTGTCTAAAAATTAAAATGTATTAAAGAATAATAAATTAATCGTCTTTATGCAGAATTTCATACACTTTGTATCAGTAGTAACGCCAAAGGTATAATTATATTTAAATCCAATTATTTATTAATGTGCAATTTTAAATAAATTTATTTTAAATTGCAGATTAATAAATAATTACGTAAGTACTTTAAAATAAATAACACGTACCGAAAAATACCTGAAATTAATAACAGTAGTCCAACGGTCTGTGTAATGTGTATAGCCTCACTATAGAGCCATAAAAATGAATTATTCACTTGTGCGCACAAATATCTCCATACAATACCACATGTGTACCCGCCATTATTGTTTCAACTTATTTCATTAATTAATTTGTGAAATATAGCCTCACAGATTATGCAAAGGCTAATATTTCTGTAACACAATTGTTTTGGTACAAGGCTACTTATATTAGGAAAAATAATTGTATTTTGTCCACACGTTTGAGTGCTTATTGTATGTAGTTTCCCACTTGATTTTCTCATTTATGTCAAGTGCAAATATAATTAGGATAGTTTAATTATTATGAATATTATTGTTTATATTCATTGTTGCGGTGAGCATTGAGTGTATTGTCCAATTAGTAACGACAAGGTCGTTGTTTCTTAACACAGTCATTGCCGACACTTGACGTCTAACAATTTTGTTATAATTAATTCTATTAAGCCATGTTAGATTAGTCTCTGAATTATATTATCTAGTTACCAAAACAGATGCCAAATAATATTAATAAATATCGAAACTAAAACAAATTGATTTAGTTAAAGTTAAATGAAAATTGTCAAATTGAAGTACTGTTCCTGTTATATTATTAATCAGTAGCTTTTTATAGAAACATAGAAACATAACACCAACAACTAAAAAATATATATATTGAGTTGGAAAAATGATCATGGCACCATGTCAACTACATATATCAATTGTACGTTATTAAACACTTATACTTAAGTACGGTTAGTAATTTTGTTACATTGTTAAACCAGCAATATCTTATCTTGATTCCTAAGTAACGTCATTAGCGTCATTGTGTCATCTTTTCATTAGACATGTTCCCCGGGATTGGCTAACACTACGGACATCGCCGAAATGCAAGCATTGTCTAACATTTCCCACAACGAAAATAAAAGTGAGAATTCAATCTTTCTCGCACAGCATTAACGGTATCCGTATACACAACAGTGAATTTAAATATTACAGCCGCGTTACCTCTATCTGGGTTTAAAAACCATGACTTCACTCTACTTCGTATAGGTTACTTTACACAATCGTTCGTATTACACTATTGTAGAAACTAAAAAAACCTTAATTTAAATCAAGTAATCGTTTTGAACATAAATGTTATTATGTACGCATGTGGCCCGTAGCCATACCGCTGTTGGTTGCAATGAAATCATAACACAGGGTATTACGTAATTTTGGTCAACAAAAGGCAAATATTCCGAGCCATTCCGCTAGTTTATGTTTGCGAGACGGGTATTAAGGTAAATTGTAGGTACAATTGCGCGCACGGGCCACTCGTTAGGGGACCGGGCTGACGTGACACCGCTTCGCCAGTATGTCGCATTGTTTCAGTTTTATGCGTACCGAGCTAAGATTAAATGGTGAGTTGGAGATTTATGGCGGTCATGCGGACGCTAGGTGGACGGTGAGGTCTTTCGTCGAAACGTTCAACTTTCATAAGAGCCCAATTTGTGGGAGCGGTTAATGCGGTGTCGTGCTCGGACGTGCATGCTCCGCCTTTTTATTGCTGCTTCTTAACTGTAAACAACACCCATTCTCGCGAGATTGTCTCGGTATGTTATTTGTAGATGAAGGTATGTTATCTCTACGAGTAGAACGTAAAAGTATTGTGGGTAACAATGCGCCCAAATTCTAATAACAAACGGGAGTTTTATGTGATCTTATCTCGTAAATAAGAATTGCTTTCATTGATAATGTAGTGGACGCTCTCATTTGCAAACAAGTATTGTAGGTTAAAAATAGTAGTATATCCTCGAAAGGATATAGGTTATTATAGAAAGGAAGTGAGATACCAAGGCAAAAACCAAGTATTAGACAACCTTTTATAGCAATGCACTAGTTACCGTTTACCATCACGTGAGACTTGTGCTGCGGACCTGATCAACTTAGTTGTATAAAAAAATACACAACACTTACGTGATAATCGTAATATTGTAACCGTCTGTAATGAATGCGCATACATTAATGTTAAACGGGATTGATTGAGATTAACGAATCGAATCGAACAACGCAACAAATGTCTAAAAACTAATTAACCCGTGATATACGTTGTGTAGCGGAAGTTTCTGTGTAGTTAAAACATCGTAAAACTCTAAGTGCCTACATTATACCAAGTTGAAGTTAAAAACTTGTCCAGATAAACCGATTTACACCACGACTGTGTACGACATGTAAAGCACAATTATGTTATGATCTTTTTAACTACTGTCTTTAAATAATAAAAATAATGACATGCAATGACTGCCTACTCTAATAATAAAAATACGTAGTACGTCTCCTTTGTGCCTTTGAATACTAAGAACATTTTTTATTTTTAAAATACTTGAATCTAACCAAATATAGCTTTAATAAAAAAAAAGGTTGTACCTACGTAATACTAAGGGATATGTGTTCAAAATCGTTTTATATAGACAAGTGTTAAACAAAAATTGGTCGGATTCTTACACTCACCAATCTTCGCTTGGGCTTGATCAGCGGCCTGTTTTGTCCATTCATCTTGTAGTAGAGTCCGCATGCGTTACATAAATAGTGGCCGGTACCGTCGCGTCGCCACAGCGGTGTGCTTGTTGCGCCACAGTTGACGCACTCCCGACCCTCTGTTGTTTGAAAAAATGAACCAATTAGATGATAAACTCGTAAAACCTTTATTTGTGGTGAGAAGTAGAAACTGCATAACTAAGATCACAATAAAAAAAACGATTTTTTTAACTTGATAAATGTAAAAAAATGTTTTTAACCATTGCTTCCATATCAGCAAAATGTAATTAAATCTCAAATTAAAAAAAATGCATTGAAAATTTAATAAATTATTAGAGAAACAAATATTTTTTTTAGTCCAATAAGAGTAAATATCAAGCAAAAAAAACACAACAGAAACAGAAAGCAGTAATATTGCACCAAAACCATTAGATAATAATTTAGCATTATATGGAAAGAGACCGGTTTACCTGTCTCCTGGCAGGCTGAGGAAGATGACAGAAAATCACATTCAGAAACATTACAAATAGAATTTTACTAACAAAGCATGCTAACACCAAGCACTTACATAAACTACATCATCCTTTAAACACATTTATCTTCACATCAACATAATTGCAATTACTATGAAAAAAAATTTAGTAAAATATTCACTTAACTAGGGAAAGCGCAACGAGTTTCACTTTGAAGAAAAAATATCAAGATTTTTTACACGCAAAGGAAAACTAAGAGAAAGTAACGCTACTATCGGATCGCTTGACGGACTTGTACGGAACGCCCTTACAATTGCAATTAAAAAGTACAACAAACTAATGAGTTAATAATTCAAACTAACTAAAAATTAATTATGTTCTTTGAGCTCAACTCAAATTTTACCTAACTCTTTTAAATGCAAATATTTTGTGAAACGATAATTTTGTAATACTAAGACTTAACTATCAATACTAAAATTACTCGAAAGTACTTAGAACATAAAAGCGAGTTGCTACAAAAATAAATAGTTGTTGCAAAAACATTGGTGAGCGTCTAGCAACAAACAGAGCAGAACCAGAGCTATAAAGTATTACCCACCACATGCTAATTTTCGTGTATGTAATTGTTGTAAGTACGTCTAAAACAATTTCCTACGTAAGCGATGGCACCTCATCCATGAAAGGTGACTTGCAAATTTTAGTACACGAATTAAAAAGGAAAACATTAAATAACGGATACTATATTATCAATTATCTAATTCATCAAAACTAGTCAAGCGATTATAAGTAGTAAAGAAAGTGCTATAACCATTCATGCGGTAAGTCCTCTAACATGCATATTTGACCCCAGGATGAGCCGTCCTCCGGGAAAGTGTAAATACGCTTAGTATCAAAATAAGCAATTTGATCGAGGTGCTTACATGGTTAGTGAGAGGAAGTATTCACATATGGGATGCGCGTGCGCCGCCCACAATCTTACTTTAAACTCGATTACACGATCAATGATTTACCGAGATCGAATTTAAAACCTCGTTACACCTTCGCATCCTCTCGAGGGGCCTTCGATCACACTAACTACAATCAGTGTGAGAAATCTGCGCACGCGTGACAAACGCCTGCACATGCCACGCTACCGATTAGTTCGTTTGTATAGAACCGGTTTCTACCGCTTATATCGATCGGAAGTGTATCAAAGAGTTAATGTAATAATTATGTATCTAGATCTGATTATCAGTCTTCAGACGCACTAGCGCAGTCATGAATTAATAAAAATACGACAGGACGCGTGGAAGGTGAAAGTACTTAAATGTTTCATTGAAAAAATTACGTTAAAAGAACAAGAAATGTTTTACGAGCTTAAGACTGTGCGGCCATTCATCGTTTTTATGTAAAACCAGATCAAACCCGGCAATTAAATCGCCCGGACCCTATCGAAAACTTATTGCGATCGACCGACGACTCACTTTTTGGTCTAAACCCTTTATATTTTTTGTAACATCGATAAAACCTGTAATTTGTATCAAAGTTTATAATAAATAAACACCAATAACGATTATTACGAAAAAAATAACACGAGCCGCAATGTTTTATAGTAATGTCTCTCGCTAGAGATGGATCCAGTTCATTAGTAACGTCTCTATCCGTAAAAAAGTTTGTGAAAGCAAGCGGAGCCGCGGGCGGCGACATTTCACAAGATTTACAGCGGCCAGCCTCTCATACATCGACATTACACGTATTATTAAAGAGAACACTACTCTGATTAATTACTATTCGATTTAATTGTTCGATCCGGTTCAATGGTAACATTTTAATACATTCACACCGAGAGAGTTATTTCTTAATTTCCCCCGACGCGATGGAGCGACGAACCAACGGCTACTCCGCCCGTACGTGATTTAGGATCCAAATAAAGATATGCGTCTATTTTATTTGTAGCTACAAAACAGAGGGAACATCTATCTTGAACCTCAGCAAAGTATGAGGATGAGCGAAAAATTCCAATGCTTGTTCAAAATTAGAATGCGGCTCGCTCTTTATTGCCCACAGTGACGTGCGGTCGTGACGCGGCAGCGCTACGTGACCGCGATAAAAGATTTTCATCTGCCATATTTACGTAGGCGAGTGGGCGGTTTTTATTTTTCGAGAGTCTCCAAACGAGCGCACTTCGTGCCCATAAGGACTCGCAAAGTTTTCACACGCTCTCGTGCCTAGGGAAAACACTGCACGCGGTGCGATTCCGCTGAGAGTGCACCTCGGGTACTGCCTCCACTTGAGCGCTGTTGACCTCTCGGAACTATTGATGCGTTGTTAGAACAGACGAAGCCAGTCCGGTACTAGCCGATCAAGGCGTAAAGTAAAAACGCTAACATAATCACGTATAACGCTTATGTGCACCAGGGTAATGTAATTTAAATGAAGGACTAATTCGATCCCGTGTACCGTGACGCGCTCTCTCAGCCCATCGGCCCATCAACAGGTAACGGCGCGGCTATTTTGCATACAAACCATTAAATTATTGCTCAAAACTTATTCTTTGTTGCGCCACAGAGGCTGTTATTACGCTTTAATTATATGCCTGTATGCAAATAGAAAAATTTAATGGAAGCTGATCGTCTCGCTCGAGGTTTATTTTTATTGAGCATTGTGTTGCCAGGAAATATTTGGAATGTTATGTTACAAGTCATCGACTCACTAATTTTAATTCACTTTTGTTTAAGTTCAATTCAAGTTTTTTGACTCTTCAAAGCACCGTCATAACTGCCGACGAGAATGAGACCGTACCATCGCGATATTTGCATTCGCTATTAACGTACGGCGAGATAATTGCGTGTGAGGACCCGCGGATGCTGATTTGTACTGCTCAGTGTAATTATTATACTGGTCATGTGATCCTCGACTCCTAAGCCTGCTTCTAACGACCGTCTCACTACGGTTTTTCTCTATAAATAGGTTTCGATTAGTTCTACAGTTCGATTTGCATGAACCGTTAGAATACTAAAAGCTGAAGCGGTAAGGAATATCTTTGTCCTCTAATTTTATAATTGAATTAAACGTTGCGGTTCCACGGATGTCCAACGTAAAATGCAAATTTGGTTGATGCAATTGTAGCCAACAATACTGGCCGGCAGACCATAACGAATTTACTATACCTACCGACACTAACTAACTTTGTACAATAAACTTGATAGCATTCATTAGTGGTTATGTATATACACGTTGGATTAAATAAATTGATGTTACTAGAAACGTATGTCCAAAAAACATTTATCATTTTAATTTGTAAGAGGCCGGTAAAAAGTGATTGCTTGTAAAAATAATAACATATTAAGAGTTGCTCCGTCCTCATTCCTGTTGTCCGTCGGTCCGTGGCGCTGCGCGGGCAGTCGTCGCTAATATAATTGGTTGCACAACCGTGATGAATAAGCGTTGCAGCAACTTGAATCGTGTTCTTTATTAAATTTGCAAAATTTAAATATAACATTTTCTTAACATTATCTCATTTAAATAAGCACTTTTCATACAGAAAAATCTAATTACGTAGTAAGAAATTGGCACATTGGTAATTCATAGTTTCCTAACACTTCCCCCCTTTTGCTAAATAGTCTAATGATTAATTTCATCCTCAAGAAAAGGTACTTCATGAATAAAAATGCGTTGCCAAGTCTTTGATCTCCTCGAAAGATTTCATAGACTTACAAACGTTTTCTTCCATCCCGCATCCTAATTAAAGTTGCCTGTTAAAGGAATCTTTATTTGTGGGTTTAAAAAGAGTAATTGGTCTTTAACATACCTATTATAACTTCCATGTTTTTTTAAATTTAATTGTTGTTATACAAGTAAATTATATTTGATTGAGAACATGATCAACAGAGAAAATTATCACAAGATTTAATATTTGACAAAGCATAACAATAGAATAGATAATGGTACATAAAATTATTGAATGTCTAGAATACGAATTAAGTGAACGTAACATTATTTTAGAAAGTGTTGAATGGTACTGTTTAATAAATAGCTAATTTAATAGCAGGTTACTATTGAAACTGACCGTTTATTATTCGCATTGCCCTTTCCATGACATTCTTCAAATACAAACTGCATTTTAGGTCACGATTTTTCGATTGTTCGATCTAAATGCTACGTTGTACCTAATCTTATATCATTACTTAGTAAGTACAGAGAAGAACAGAGAAGCAGGAACAGCTACGAATACTAATAATAACCCTATTCTTTCTGATTGAGAAAATAGATCAAAGTTACCTCTAATCAAATTGGTCAACTAATGTGTGATGTAACGAACTTGTAGTGAATATCTACGGCGTTAAGTTCACTGTTATATATTCCGTGTATAAAGTGTAAAAAAAGGCTCGCAAGACAAATTTTTTGAGCACCTTGAATAACTATACATTTTGTTTTAACTAAACAATGTTGAAATTAAATTGAGCATAATATCTTAAACGTGATTTCTAAACTCTAAGCACTTTAGCTATCGAATACAGCATTAATTTGTTCTAAAATCTGCGTATATTGTAATAGACAGGAGGCTCGAGGTCAGGCAATCGCAGGCAACAATGGAATGGTCCACATCCGGCCGCAGCACATTATCATAATACCGCTTCCACCAAGGAACTGCCACCTACTAGCCGATATAACATCCATATTGCACATAAGAATTTACATTTGAGTTCCACAGAAAACAGCTATTAAACGATGTGTTGCCATTTCCTTCAAGATTAATTCAAGCCATTGAGTTCATTGACAAAAAGAAAAGTATTTTCTTGTATTTATTTTTTCTTACGCACATTAATGCGTTTAATATTTTGTTGTTGATATTATTGTTCGATATTTAAATTAGTTTAAAAACTAAGAACTATCTCAAATCTTCTGTTACGTTCGTTAGAGAATTTTGGAATTCTATTCTAATGTGGTATCGGATTAAGACTACATCAAGTACTCGATTTGATTATACAATACATATACTAATTTTTAAAACATACTCAATTGTAGTTTTACTGTAGTTTACAGTAAATTAAATAGATTAAAAAAAGTTTTTAGTTATTTATCATCAAGTCATTGGTGATTAAAAACATAGTCTATTTTGATTCTTTTCCTAAGCGAAATAAATAAGTGAATGTAAATTTCTCAAGACTTTTGCCAGCTTGTTATTTACAAGCAATGTCATGAGTTTTCTGAGACAGACGATAAGATTACAATAATTGCCCATTATAAAATCATTAATTTGCAGTGGTTTTACGAAGACAACATTATGAAAAGAAAATTAAAAACAAATTATTCTGGCACGCTTCGCTATCAATTTAATAAGTGAGCTAGTAAATAATTTCCAATTACAAACACAATAAATGTGAGCATATATTGAGTTTTTCTACGACAATTATCAAGAACACGGGGGACTAACAAAAACTTAACGACGCGTAACATCGTGTAAATGGATCACAGACTGGTTGGATTTTCTTTAAACTTTCGCACTATCTTTGTATGATTTACCCTTTACTTTTTATGGGGAATTCTTTTAATACCTGCTAGAGATAAAATTATAGCAATGGTTAAAAAAGGTACTCTTTTTATTTAAAAAATCGACATTAATCTACGAACGTTTATTTCAATTTTTCTGTGCAGACTAATGCTTAGCAAGCTTAACAACTGAATATGAATTAGGATTAAAATTTAAATTCTAAATTAGCATTAATTAATTTAATCAATTATCAAAATCGACCTTACTATCGCCTAGTTTAATTACTTTTAACTGAACTTGCAATTTAATGCAATAGACAATGGAATACTAAAAAAATCGCTGTTGCAAAATTAAAAGTTTTGCAAACGAACTTTAAATAGGGATCCTCATTTACTTATTACACGGAAGTAAAATAAAATAACAAAAGTCAGTTTATTTAATGACTTTATCCGCCGCAATTAACTCCATGTCTTCGTTTTTTAATACGTTTCTAATTATATCATGAGCAATCCATTATAACAATCTCGATAAGCCAACGCGAGACTACAGCCTAGTTTCCAAATGCTAATTCATCTAAAATTTCACAAAATATTGAACAAACATAACAGTACGGGGAACTATTTAATTGTCCGTCTATATCAACAGTCATTCTATATAATTCTGCGCGTTCATTATTCTAATATGAGACAATAAGCCGCCATTTCAGTTCCCGTCCATTGTCAAAGTTTAACATGTACCAAAGTTATAATTACATTTTCAAATATAAAATAAAGCTGCATTACGCCGTGTTAATACAATTAGTGTTGTGTAATTCTTTGTTATAGTTACAAATATGGCATGTATGTGTGCTCTTGTTGCGAAAACGGTTGCATCTTATTTTGCAACAGCAATAAAGGTCAAATCTAACAATAAGGCTTCATCACCACTTAGGGTTTGATTTTCAGCGCTTGAGAAATATTTAAAATTTAAATGGATTTAAAGAAAAATGTATTAAATAGCTGGTATTTTATAGTCTGAAATTTCTTTTCTATTTATTAAACTGTCTACCCGCGCTGTGTAGCGTTCCAACCACGATACGTAAAAAAACTCAGTTTTTTCTACATTTTGTGTTACTGATAAATCGATTTAATATTGGTTGATGTCAAACGTGTTACTTAATAACATTTTTTAAAGTCAGGTGCTAGATGACCAGTTTTCTTCCTCCTAAAAAGTACTAACTTCACTAGAATTTCTATATACAGATTATTCTCACACGTATATACCTATTAATAATCATCTTGCGACATAATAAGACAAGAAGTTTAACGTTTTAAATTCAACTAACCTTAATCATTGTGAAAGTAAGAACGCAAAAGTAGCAACCACTCGTTTTTAATTTAAAAGACTGTCACGACAACTAATAGAAATCTACTTAAGTGAATTTATTTAATTGTCTACTTGAAAACAATGGCGGCTTGCTATTAAATAATGAGAAACGTCTAATTTTTATGGTCAACATCAGACGAGGCCGCTTTAGTTCACATGTTTTGGACAATAATAAATGTTCTTGCGCCGACCACTACCAAAGAGTTTTATAAGCATAAATTAAACAATTTTTTCAAGATTTATGTATTTTCAGACTCTAGAGACCTTGAATCTAGATACCGTATACGAGAAAACGCGATTATGTTATTATTTAAAATGTCTGTAGAAAATTTATAACCGCTTACTACAAAAACCAATATAATAAATTACATTAGTACATCCACCACCGTTAGACAGTTAGTAAATAAGCGTTAGAAAGAACATTAACCCAAGCCTTTGTTTGGTACCGTGTCAAATAGAAAACGTGTGGCGCCACAACCCCCGAGTGCAAGACTGCAAGACACCGTGCTTATCCGAACACATCGCGATACCAATACCATTATGCAATGCCATTTGAAAATACCAAATGAAATATTAATCTTGCCAAGTTTATCAAATTAATATATCGCAATTGTCGATGGGACAATCTATATTGCGATTCTAATTACGAAAGGAATATCTCCGTTGCCATTTTGTTTACGCTTCGATTAGCAAACCTTGAAAGTCTGAACGTATTTGATTTATCAACTGATTAGACAAAGTGAATTTAAATGAAAGATTTTCTAGTGAAAAGTCATGGTGCTATAGCCAATTAGGCTATCTAAATTGCTTCTGTAACATAGCTTTGAATGACAATTGAGCAAGCGACACGGGCTCTGTGATCGGATAAGCGTAGGTTGTCGTGAGAGTGTCTCAAGTGCACGCAGTGAGCAGTGCAGTGCGGTGCGAAGTCCCCGCGGACTCACCGGCGCTAGTTCGCGTCTTGTTCGGTCGAGGCTTGCTCTGCTGTTGCGCCCCACTATACCCCTTTCCCTGGTAGTTGTAGTAGTCGCCGCCGGCGGCACTGTATTGCGTGTTGTATTCCCCGGAGGGCTGGCTCGACTCCTGAGGGCACGAGTCCGGCTGCGCACCTTCACGCTGCTTTGAAGGAGGTGCGCCCATCATGGGCTTAACATCCCCGCAGAGCGGCAACTCCTGCTGTTGCTGCATAAAGGCAACACTCATTGCGGTTGCATGCGCGACGGCTGCTTGATAGTCCTGTTGACCCAACGCTGCAGCTGCCACTGAATCCGGTGTTGAATCCTTTGGAGGCGTCGGGGGAAAGGAAAATAAGGGATGAGGATGATGATGCTGCGCGGGAGATAACGGTTTGTCTCCCTGAGCATCCTGCTGGAAGCCGCTTCCCCAAGCCCCTCCACTTAGCGCCTTAGACTCCAACCAGGGGTGCAGCGGCGTGTGGAAGTGCGGTCGACACACTTGCCCACTACTGCCGCTTAACGTCCGACCTGCACAAAAAATGCAAAATCATCACGCCTGTGTCTCCCCAAGGGGTGAGGCAAACACTTATTTTCTATAAGTTGTTTCGTTACTGGAAGGGGCCATACCAAAGTAAATGTAAAAGTTTTACGGTCCGGGCTAATAACAATAAGCATGTCTAGAAACAATAACAGAAAAGTTTTTAGTATGTACGAAATCAGTCTTAAATGCTTTTCTGCTCCACCAAAAGTACAAAATTCATTAAAATCTCTAGGAATAGTATTTCTAATATTTAAGAATGAATCCCCTAAGGCTATTAACTCTATCATACTCGTAATAATGATGAGGTCCCCACAATTTGATACCTAAACTACTTGTGTTTAAGAAGCGTTTAAGTAAACGTTATCATCGTCAACAGATCCACCGATATAACAGTCATTGTAACACGAGACAACAAAACTAGTTGTCATTAAAGCCTACAATTTGAAGCCTTTTTGTTAGCCCGTGTTCACGTAAATTAATATCATTTGTATCTAACAACTGGCTCTTCACACGACATCTTCATTCTCAAATATCGTAATTGTAATGGTGAATATTTCCGCTTCTAATGGCTATTTGATAAACAAATAATGGCGGTTGATATTACAGAACGGGTCTCGATGACTGCGTCCATGAACAAAGCCTTTACTTTTCCAAAATGGTTTCAAAAGCGGCGTATCACAACACCGAACAATTAAAATTGTAGGCCAACTGGAAATTTCATTAATTATGTATATGAGCGTTAGTTCTGATTATACGCTATGTTGATTAGTTTGCATACATGCTTCACAAATGTTTTGGTCATAATTTTTAAGATCATCGTTTAAGCTTTGAGGTAATGTTGCTGTAAGTGAAATGGGTAAATATATTTAAAACTGTGCCAATTATCCTAGTTCAGATCTGTCGGATGACCATGAGGATATCACAACATTGTTGTTTTATGTAATAGAAAGTGGGTTTTTATTTTGGTTCATTAAAAAATGTACAATCGACGTAAAACGTATTTTAGTAATTCAGAACAAGTTAACAAAAAATACTGGCTTTCATAGCCTATTCCAAGAGAGTAAAAAACAGTTTCAATGTTGATTAAAGTATTTTTAAACTACATATTTATTTATATATTTCTGTTCATTTTTTCTGACGCGTGATTTAGCTTATTATATCTTGTATATAGATACATGTTGTTGAAACATTGTCTGTGCATAACTTTAGTGGGAACAATTCCAGAGGAAAAAAATATCATACACTATCGCAATAGAGACGTAAGCGGCATACTTCTAGTTTGTGGCGGCACGAATCGGAAATGCAAGAGCGATTCAATTAAATGAGAGTAATTATCATAAATGAATATAATATTGTTGGCGCAGTAACTTTATAGTTTAGATTTTTTGAATGTTATACTTAGAGAACAGCTAGAGAGGTGTAATATAGGATTTTAAAGAAAATGTAGGTATAGAGTATCGATGCGATGCAAAGTAGTGTTGTACTTATTGTCATGGAAGTAGTTCATGTAAATGTATTTAATATTGTATTTCAAACTGCCTTTAAACCACGTTGTTATTGAAAATTTCAGTTATTTAAATGAGTATCTTAAATGTATTATTGCATTCCAGGTGAATTAAATTAGACTAAAATTTAATTCACCTGGCACGATTTTTATCGCATACCATATTCTCTTTAAATTGTGAAAATATATTGATTGAGGCATGTATTTCTTGTAAAAGATCTTTAATATTAATTAAATAATTAAAAAGTTCGAAAGTATTCAAATAATTTAAGTATTTAATATAAAGAAGGGATTGAATATATGATTCAATCCCTACTTTAATTGCCGAATCAACATTCGTCAATTATTATTTATGAACGTGAAAGCAAACATATGTACGGGTGCATGCATTTGTTATTGGAGGGTGGCCGAGGTAATGATATCTGTGTTACTGAACTGTTCTTCGATTGGTTGATTTTAGTTAGGGGCGCATCCCTTCATGCCATTCCCCATGGTAATACGACAAGGAACCTCACATTTGAGGCATCCCTGTGGCGCACTGCGGGTACTCAACTACTAGTTACACTCAATAAACATATGTTATATGATTTTTCAACGCAGCTTTCGCTGTTGTAAATATATAATACTACAAATCAGTTCATCCTTGACCTTTATAAACAAAGCCGTAGGTATTAATACGTCAATGAATTCGTCACAAGCTATGTACTTGATAATCATAAAAGCCCGCATCGTGTCGTTCCAGGTGTCGATCGTAGTTTGAGATATCAGCGATTCTTATCACAAGGGCACCCGTACATTGCGGACTACTCACTGTTAGATCAGTCCGGAAACGCACTTAGCAGCCAGTGAACTTCCAAAGTATTTAATTAGTAAAACATGATATGTAAAAAACCTGAATCTAACATTTCTATTTGTGTCTAAATTCGTTTGACAAGTACAATAATTGTAAATCTGATAATACAAAATGAATTTCCAAAGTATCTCATGACATATTCATAAGACTATTATAGTGATAACAGACAGATTCTTATCAGATACTACTGTAAGAAAGTAACAATAGTAATTATTACAATTTCAGTACTTCTGTAAGTTAATTCAGCAAAATCATTAAAAATTTAGCGATTACAGTAACACATTAAGTAAAACAGTAATCAATCTGTAAGCGCGCCACATTTAGGCGAAATACACAACAACGTTTTGACAGCGTCCGCGACAACCGGGAGCCACCCCTCGCGCGTTAGGCTACGTTCACAATAGCCCCTGCGATGGCGGACCGATAACGTGCGTATGAATAATTCCTGTTATCGCACCATCTCGCCACATGCCCTACCTGCCCTGTTACCATGCTACTTCGAAACACCCGTTTTGATGCGACAGTATAATCCTTTCCCCTGTAATCAAGCAGTAGCGTCGATTTACCAACGATATCGTGGTACCGGCCGGCCACCAGCGCTTTTTATTCATTAGAGGGCTGCAAGTTTCGGCCATTGTACTAGATACGCAGTTTGTATACCACTAAGCCTTGATTGTTATGGGATTTCGTGTTTAACAAGTACGCGGGGGTAATAGAAAACAAAAACGATTTCATAATAAATAAGGTGGCAATTAAATTCAGTTCCTCTTAGTTATCTTTAGATCTTCTTAGAAAAGGCAGTTCCAATATGTTTCATTCAACTTTATAGCTGATCCTTTACAAAGGAACTTATTCATTTTTGTTTCATCCTGAATATTGATCACTTCCTAGCTTATACGTGACAATACGTTATCTCAGCATCTATATCGATTCCAGTGCCATATTTCCGGACATAAAAGGTCTATAGATGAGGTACTATGTAGTTTGAACATGATACTGAGCGCTAAGCACTACATACATATACATCCACATAAAGCAACACATGGAAATTCGCACGGATATAATGACGTTGGTGTCTAGGTAGTGAACTGAACACATGATCGTAGTATATTTTTAAAACGAGAAACCTACCTACCTTTATAAACATATGTGTAGATCATGCTCCGCTATTTGGTTGATTGTAAAAAAATAGGCAAATAATTATAATAATTCATCTTAAAACTAATCTAGATTGAGCCTTTGCCAAAATAGTAGCCGTAAGTCTAACTGATTTTTCATTAAACAGACATCCTCAATGAAAATCGGCGTCTTTTCATGTAAATCTGCAATAAAAAGTTTAGGAGTGCTTCAGTAAAAAACAAGAAAAGCTTTCTTTGTGTGGAAAAAAAAAGGTTTCCCACACTCAGGGTCATAGTTTCAGATGATATATCGGATGACAAACTAAATTGCATACGGGTAGATAAATTAATTTGAGCGAAAACATCCCAAGTCTCAGACAGCGGTAATTAAAGCCAAGTAAATACAAAATCAAATCATAAACCAATCATAGCTAAGCCGTTAGTTCTCACAGCCGGCGCCGAAACAAAACACCGGAATTGAACCCCGGCCCTTGCCCCCATGTGTCCTACCCCAGCAGATGCAGCAAAAGATCTTATCACAGCGCCACAGGGCACTGGTGTTGTTCAATTTGACGATGCACAGCACCCGCTTTGCTTATTTACTGTAACGGTTTTATAGCCCTTCTGATTTTTAGCACGCCATATTTTTATATTCAGTCGTGCAACTGTAAGTTACGTAGTACAATAAACCTTTCGCAGACAGTATGACGACTGCTATACATGATAAAGACTAAGTTAAAAACATAGATAAATCAGCAACACCTATCTCGAATTTAATCCCAGAAAGCGGGCACAGAAATTGTTAATTGCTTCACGTACTAGCTATATACTAATTTACCTTTCTTTTCTTACTACACTTTAAATATAGATCAAATACAGCAGATACATAGACTGATATGTATATTACACATTGAAATTTTCTTATTGCCTATTCCCTCGTTCCTACTAGCATTTTATCGAAATTATAATATAGTCAAATAAAAAAGAGCTTAAATAACAAATAATAAAGAGCTTACTTTCCATCAGGTGGCCTGTCTGCTCGTTGCCCTCTAGATCATAAAAAGAATATAAGAAATCACATATACCGTAAATTTTACAGTTAGTTTTTTATTATTTACATGAATTAATTTTTCAAGTAAATAAATCTTCTACAATACAATCAAACGCCAAACAGCACAATTGCTTTAATTTAAATTGTCTCCTTCATATGTTCCTTTTTTTTCCACTAATACGCCAAGATTTGAGCATTCAGGTTCTCTTTAAATTTCATCGACTGCATTAACCCGCCCCTCGGTATTGCATCCATGAAGCGTAAAGGCGTGGTTACAGAAACAGAGGTCCCTCCTGCCTTTGCTTGCGGCGAAAATTGCCCCTTACAGCTTAAAGTGCCTCATAACCGGTGCATATGTACGTAATAAACTATAATGTGTTGTACACAGCGTGACGTCTTCCGGTGACAGTTACAACTCTCAATAATTATGGTACCCCAAAGTCAGTTGATTTTATTGCTTG